AAGAATTCTAGCTGTGGAGAGCCAAGCTAAAATAATCCCATGTCAAGGATTCCCACTGGAGCTGCACATGGTGGGAAAAAGTAACACAGGCATTTTGAACACGACTCCCATGAAAAGATCAGAACTCGAAGAAATGGCAGACTAGAATTTCTCAAAAGAAAACTATTTGGCATTTGCTCTTGTTACAAGCTATCCCAAAGTTCCCTAGCAGAACAGCTTCCCCCCTGAGGAGGGAATATTCAAACAATCTGCAAAAACGTGACAACTACCAAAAAGATTGATCAGTGTTATCTCGACTATGTTCCAATACCAAATGTTCACTCTGTTTTATTTTCACCTCTGTTTCATTACACATTAATGTCTGATATTGAAAACTACGATGAGCAAACGATGCCATGCTGCCAATTTTTATTTTGCATTCCCATTATGTTAACACAGTTTTTGACATTTTATCTTCCAAACCCAAGTGAAAACAAATTCCCTAACTGGGAAAATGCAAATTCAATTGTAACTTTTGTCAAATTAAGGAAAAAACAGAAACATGCATTTCTTAAGTATTCTCATGCAAATGTGAACTGCAAGACTGATTTTCTGGCTCAGTTGAAGACTCCAAACAACACTGAATACTGATTATATGCTGAGGCCAGAAAGAGAGAATGAGTTTAACTGCTTTACTAATAGCAATCTAGCCTCTTTAGGAAAAGGTTCAGTGAAGTCTTGAAAATTCTTCACTTAAAGATGGGTTGTCAGACTCACAGAAAACTCAGACGTGTTCCTTATATATTGGGTGTGCCTCAGAATGAGCTGCTACCTTATTTAATTTTTTTAAGCATTTCAAGGAACTAGGGTCTAATTCCTGCACAGCTCCCTTTGGTAATTTTAAAAAATGTCAAGCAGATTGTAGGTTCTGAAGCAGAAAGTGCACATGGTAGGTAGTATTATAAAATATATAATATAAAACAAGATCTATTACGTGAGGCTGTTCACAGTCATGTGATAAATCTTGAAACAACAATAGCAAATGGAAACCCAAACTTGAGTTCAGCTATCTTAACACTTTCTCTCACAGTGGATGCTAATAGAGCTTTTGCATGTTTGCATTTCCCAGCATTTTGAAACACAAAATTCCTGGTTCCCAAGGTTGCAGCCTAGCCCACCAGCAAGGAGATTGACATAAGCCCTGTGGAAAGACCTTCCACTTCAAGGTGGAAGTGGAAGCTTTGAAGCTTTCAAAGATGAAGACAGAAAAATCAGGGTGTTTACTTTAAGCCAGGTAATGTGTGGTCTGCGAGAGCTTTCAAAAAACAGCACTCAGAAATCACAAAAGGAATGCAGCATTTCCCTGCACAGCTCAAGCCCAGACATCTTCCCATTTGGCCAGGACAAACGCTATCCAGCCACTGGTTCTTTGACTTTGGACATGCCAATCTAAACTGTGCAGTCACAGATCTTCCCTGCTGAACCAAAAGCGAGGTGCTAGTGAAGCACGATGAGCATGAGGAACAGAGATGCTAGTGAATAATTTTTTTGTTATCTCCTGCTTTATTTTGCACATGTCTTAGACAGAAAGGGACATGCTCCCTGGTGAAGGCAGAAAGGCAGCTGCAACACCTCAGCAGCAAAAGCCTGCAGCTGAATGCCTGACAGCAGCTGCCACAACAGGCTTAGAATCGTGATTAGAAATTCCCTCTACCAGTGCAGCAACCAAGGCTGGCTGTGAAAGCATCCCTTTCCAGCTTCTGTATACTGGGAGGTTGGTTAGTGTTGTCCTGTCAAGGTCCCGGAGTTGGGCTTGATGATCCTTGTGGGTTCCTTCCCACTCAGCATATTCTATGATTCTGTGCAATTGCTAAAATAGCACAATACAGAGCAGCACTTGACAGAGCAGCCTCACAGGGAAGGGCCAGAACTGTGTCATCACCTGAGCTCAGCACGGGTCTGCTGAAGTCTCCTCCAGTCCTGTCAGCCAACCTTGGCAGGAGTCAGAGTCAGCCCCACAGCCAGGAGTCACAGATACAGTAGCACAGCTCTGCAAAAGGCTGCAATTTAACCTTCTTAGCCTGTTCAAAGGAAATAACACAGCGCTGGGTATCAACTATAGGCAGTTTTTAAAATGTCCTTGTTGTGTTCTCATAGAAAGCACCTGTCCCTTGTGCTGAAGAGAACTAAATGAACATTTCTGCTTCCTTTAGCTCTTTCAGGGGAAAGGCAGACTATCTGAAAGTTGGTTTGGGCTTTAAGAATGTGATTAAAATGAAGCAAGTATCACCTTTCATTGTAGTGAGAGGCCAGAGTTTCAGCTAGACATCAGATCAAATTGCAAAGGTATGCTTGGCTTCCACCAAAGGGCATATATAAACAGTAATGTATGGGAGGTCTGACTGCACACAGGTAGGAAATTAAAACAGTCCCATGAATGCCCCTACTAAAACATGCATAGATATATACATAAAACATGTGAATAGTCAGCAGAATTCAGAAATCCTTTCAGAGGAACAAAATGCAACAGAGGGACACTGTACAGTGAGAAGTTAGGATTTATCTGCATAGAGCTTATTTCACTGCAGAAATACTTACAGCAATTACACCCCTGAAAGCTTTCTTACTCTCTTTTCCAATACAGGTTGAAGACACTTTTCCTCCAACCCAGTTCCACCTGCTCTCCTGTCTGAGCCTCTGCCATCATCTCCATGCAACAAACTGGATTAGTTTTCCTCCTCTCAGGGGTATGGCACTTAAAATTTTTGATGTGTGTGAGCACAGCATGGGTTTGTTCCACGCTAGTAAATGACCCATGGACACCCGTTTAGAGAACGGGTACTGCCACTATACGCTGTTTTACTGAGCAAGGAAATATCATGTCTCCTGGGGCAGCAGTGAAGCAAGCTTGGGATGTGGCTCACACTAAGTACTTTGTGAGCTCTGCTCAAGCTCTCCAACAGGCCAGCCAGCCCAAGGTAAGAGCACCAGTGCATTTAAAACAGAGACCTCCCTCATTATGATCAAATCGTCTTTGCAGTAAGAAAGAGTGCTCCTAAGGTATCAGAGCTAAGCTGACTGGCACTCTACAGTACCCTAGGGGGGGAACTCTGTGGTAAAGTTAGTATCTCATTTAAGAGAAAGGAGAACTATATCAGGTAACTTTTATAAGCACAAGATCCCCATCCTGCTTCCTCTATTCATCAGAAGAGGGTTCTTTCTATTCCTCTCTTCAACCCAAACCAAACTGCCCGAGATGTTTTGCCAGCAGCTCGTTATTTATTGTGCTTAACATGAGCATGCATTTTCAGGATCCTAAGTGATACAGAGGTTGAGGAGAGAAAATACATATGCATTTTCTGTCAGAAGGAGAACTATGTAGATAAAGACTTCAAGGAAAGAACTGCTTTCATTACTGTTAGTCAGCCATACAGTATCAAGACCAGCAGTCTGCCCTCCAGCTCCGTAGGAGAGAATGATTTACTAGTGTCCTACTGTAACACAGCCGTCTGGCAAAATGCTTTCACAGAGGAATTATGTGGGAAGCTGCACAGTACTAGTGCCACATTCTCTGAAAAGGTTTGAAGCCACAGCAGTAGCCTCCATACCTCTGGCAGAGGCATTTATAGCAATCATGAAAAAGAAGAACAGCAGTCTCCAGTTTCACACATCCTTCTGTTTTCTGTGTTGAGGTCATCATTTTGATTTTTAAAGTCTTGCTTTACACAGTTTCTTTTCTGCATCAGACCCATGACAATTGCCAATTTCTCTACCCAAGCAATTAGCTCCACTACTGTCAGTGGGGCACTGTTGCCCAGCGTATAGTGGAGGCAATTATCTTCAGCTATAAAATGGATTTGCACAAACATGCCATTGTACATCCTTTGTCACCTGCCTCACACTAGATCTCAGTTGTTTTTAAAGACATCTCAGCCCTTTTTTATGTACTATAAAGTACTGCATGGACACATTTGATTTTGTTCAACTCTTGGTCCGTGCATACTCAGAAAGGTTTGTCCCACACCTTCCCATTCACTGATACTGTTGGAAATGATGTATCACAAGAGCAGCAGCTTTAGGTTGAAGAAGGTTATTCTAATCAGGCAGCAGTGTCTTTTATAAATTAAAAAATCCACACACATTCTAATTTAAACCATTAGCATGGCCTGTGGTTAGATGACATTATGTTGCTAATGGATCCACTGTGGAATATGACACCAGTTGTGCTGTCCACTGGGATTTACAGGCATATAATACACATGTTTATTTCGACTCTTAAAAGGCTGTACTAATGGCTTCAGCACTTTTGTGTTAAGTAATCGACATTCTCCCCCTTTGGCAGTGAATGCATATGTAATGCAATCCATGTTTTCCTGGGATAATTGGCCTTTCTTTCCTCAATCAGAAGTACGATGAAATTCCAAACTGGATGTGTGTTAGAGACAAGTTAGGTTTGCCTGTAGGTTGTGACTAGTTTTCTTTGGTTTTCTATATTTTAAGAATGCCAGGCATTTTCAAAGTGGTTGTACTATATACTGCTCATCTCCTCCCTTCCTCTTGTCTCACTTCAGGCTGGTGTTTACCAGGACTAAAATGAAAACTAATTCACTAAGAATTTTGCAACGATGCTGCTGCATCTGCCAGCATCTGAAATGGGCTGGACTGGAAATGGGGCAGATAAAACTCTTTAGGGAAAGGTACTATCTTTCTATGCCATCTTCCACCTAATGTAAAGCTTGCTTATCTGCAAAGTGTTTCCCTTGGTTATCAGTAGCCCAGCACTCAACTTTACATCTGCATGAGCAGAGGTTGCTTGTCACCACTCAACTTCTACCACATCAAAAAAAGTGCTAGCACACAATGCAGAAGGGCAGGTAGCCTTCCAGGTACTGCATCTAGTATTAGATGGCCTAGCAAAAAAAAACCACAATGTGGTAGCAGTGATTAGAGTTTGAATGTGCAACAACTAATCAGCTGAGAAATGATCAGCACAGTCATGGGACACGATATACTTTCTGCCAGGTTTTATTTATGGCATTGCAATTATGCAGTGCTGTGGTTGCTGCCGTGGCTCCCCAGGTGGTCTTGACTTCATTACATAGGAACATGATGCATACCTTTCTGCCACACTGCCTTAATGAAAGAACCCCAAAGGGCACATCCAAGTCTGAAACAGATCCAGAGAGTCACAGGCTTGCTCCTAGCAGTCAGCTATAACTAATGAGTCGCTAACTAAACCTCCAGCCAGTAGCAGCCAGAGACAGGGACACATCCTGGAGAAGAAAAGCCCCTTCTTGCTGTTCACTTTTGCCTTAGTAATCTTTCTAGGTGGATTGTGGTTCTATTTTGATCACAGATTCATATTCCAAAGCTAAGCTCTCCTACAGAATACCCAGACCATTGTGCACTGTGCTTGCAATAAAACCCCACCACACAGAAATTTGTCTGGTTGGCTGAGGAAGTCCTTTACAAACAAAAGTTCAACCACCTGCACTGAAAATAGGCTAGAACTGTTTTAGACCTTATGGTGTGAGTTATCAGAAACTCAAGCTAAATTCTCACCTTCCTCTTTTCTTCTCTATACTGCCTGAGTTCAGGCCAAGCCTGTCCCTTTGGTAGGGAGCTTGATGAGCAGCATGCATTGTTTCAGACTCATTTTAAAATTCAGAACAAGAGAATTGAAGTTCTGACCTTTCATAGAATAGTTGTATCGTGTTTTATCTCTTGAACCTTCCACTCTCTTTCTGAGCCAAAGCACAAACGGAGCTAAATTCAGTAGGAAAATTAACTTCAGCTCAACAGTACTAGATGCTTATTCTGCCTAAGGAACTTCAGACAACGTAGCAAAGCATAATCCTGCAAACATATGGAACAGTATATATTTCATGAGGATCCGGAAATAGAAAACGAAAAAAATAAACCAGGTCTCTCCAATTTATATGCATGCCACACGCAGAGAATTAAAGCAAAGACAGTCTAGAGAAACACTTCCCCAGGGTGCACTGATATTCCATTAGCCCCCTTTTCCCCCCTCACCCAAGGGAAAGAAAACTCTTTTCAATGCCTCGTTGTGCAAGAGAAGCTTCCTTAGAAGTGCTGCACGTCACAGTAAAGGGCACATTGCTGGGTGTTTGGGATTTGCATATTCCTGCTCTACCACTGCAGCATGTATGCCTACCAGGCAGCTGCAGCCTGAAAGTCACCAAGTGACTATTAAATTTCACAGAGGAGGTACGACAGTAACGCTATACTACTATTAATTAGATTTCAACCACGATAACAATTACCCGGGATTTGTCAGATTTGTCAAATTGTAACTATTATAATTCCAGTGTTATCTGGGGACCGGGTATAGACATCTCACATCACATTTAAGTTAACTAAACATAATTTGTAAAAAGGTAAATCCTCACTACAAAATGAAATTATTTCAATCAAAACCACACAATCTGATCAAATACAAGGGGAAGGCTGCTCCTTCTAGGTTGCATTTAATGAGAGGTTTCTAATTTGCATAAGTTTTTACTAGGGACTGATGTGTCCAATTTAAAGTTCTCACATACTATTTTTCTCTTTCAAGTACAAAGACTCTACCACCTGCTTTGGAAGCATCCAGCTGGCCAATCTGTGTGGACAGTATCAATATTAAATTGTCTTCTGCCTCTTGCTGGCAGCAGACCTGACCCACTGCAGTGCCCTCTGCTTTCTCCAAAGCACTCAGCAAGCACAGCACCCACTCTGGACAGACAAGTGTAAAGTGGCATCACTTCACAGACTTAAGTTACAGACATTAATTATGTGGCCCAACAGCTGTAAACAATATTCCCAGTCCCCTTTGGATCAGGTACATGCTGACAAGGTGACACTATGAAAGCGCAACACCTACAATCCACAATCCTACAACAAAAACTCTTATAGCCAGAGTACTCCAGCAATTTTCAAGCGCAACAGAAGTGGAATACAAATGATGCTAAACTTCCACCTGAATTAAGATGCCTCTATAAAGCAAATCTGCCTACCTGTTCTATATTTATGTATGCTTTCCAGGGTGTCAAGTGTCTGGTGATGCAAGACAAAAAAAAAAAAAATGCACCATTAACAATTAAATGTCTTGATTGCACGATTATTGCAGTACTATAGTTAACACGTACCTGAGATTTTTATACTTCCTGCTCAGTTATTAGTGATGAAAACTCCCATGGCTTACACTTAGATAGCTCCACAGTAATTCCCACACCATTAGCTATTCACAACATTTTCTGCTATCTATAAATGTACCTATTATGATACGTGTGGAATTAGAAGCAAGATGTATTAAAATTCCTAATACATCTCCTTCAACAAATACAAGAATCAGGCAGAGAGAAAGCTATTTTGGGGAGGAGGGGTTACTCTCTTTTTAATATCATTATAATTTTCATTAAACCTACAGAAATAACCATTAGTAGAAAAATATAAAGCTTTAATCAAAGCCATTCAAGAAACAGGGTGCAAGACTATAACACTAAAAACCATGTGCCAGTAGTCAGAATGGCATATGGGGAAAAAAAAATGCAAACTGCATTCAAAACCAAGACAGAAAAAAAAAAGAAAAATCTTTTGAGAGTTATCTTTGTTGCATATTCATGCCCCAATAAATTGCTTTAATTAGCTAAAAGAACAAGGAGGCAACCAAGAATGAATAGGTTATGCTGAGTATGCACACTTAAAGAACGTCACTAATGTTTCAAAAACTGCATTCTGGTAGAAATCCACACCTACCCAAACATCTTTTCTCCTCTGTGTACGATTCAGACAGTCACTGCTGACAGGAAAGAGAAATTGTGTTTGAAGGATAAAACTGCTTAGAAACACAGCTAAGTAAGTCTGTTAAAATTCCCACAATACCCCTTGCCTCCCTCTCCTATGAATAATCATACTTTAAAAACCACAGAAGATTAAAACCCCCCTTCATCCGTAAGATATATGTATTATGCTGCAGTAAAAACAGAGAAGGGGTGTTTGAGAACATAAATATGAAATGAAGCCAAAGGCATCGGCTCTTTATCCCACAAAGCCTTACCAACAGAGGCCACCTTGGACCATCTCAAAAACTTAGCACGTAAGTATCATATACACCTAAAATGGGATATATTAATTTGCAGCCTTTCTTAAAGAAGATTGCCAGGATGAGAGTCAAGACTATTAAGGTATAAAAAGGAAGATAAACACCTTGGAGATGCAAGGGCATTAGATGATCCTGTCTTTAAGTGTTCAGGTGCTGTCAAAATTTAAGTGCTACATTTTTGACAAATTCTATTGTGTTATAGGTTTAGGTTAAATTCTGTCCCTTACCGTTCCACATTGCTGGTTATGAACATCCACTTAAGGCAACAGCAACCTTGGTATTTCCTCACTATATGTTTCTCAGCTTCATAGAACACAGCACTATTTTTCTTAACCTGCTCATGTTGTAGTTCTCAATCTGCTCCTCTACCTCATGGGCAAACAACACTTTCAAGGAGAGCAGAAGTTCTGAGTGAGGACTTGACCACTCACACTTTGGAGGAAAAAGGCAACATGAGATAAAGCTGACCCTTTTATTCTCATCCTATTACATGCTAGTTCTAGGAAGGCTTTCCCTTCCTCCTTTTAATTATAGGCTTTACTAACAAGCCACATGTGTTTTTGAGCACTTGTTGATGAGTTCAGATTAGATAGGGACAAGGCTATTTCCCTTTGGTAATGTCGTGAATAGTGAAGTAACAAGCTAGACCAAGAAACAATTTTCACCCAAACTTCCTCCTAATTACCATTCTCATTTAAAGACAATGAAAGGTGATTTCCCCTGGCAAATGAAACCATTTGTTGATACCCCTTTGAAGATCAGTTTAAATTAAATCCACGATATAATTCTAAATAACCCATCTAGACGCACACACATCCACATAATTTACTATAATCATCAAGAGATTCAAGAACCTCACACTTGGTCTTCTTATAGCAGGTCAAAGTAGTGCTTTTATTACCCAGGACAAGCAGGAGGAAGCAGGTCTCCCTTCCCTTCAACACTTTAATACTTCAGTACTTCAATACTTCTTTGTATCATTTGTTCCTTTGCAGACACCTGGAGTGTGGTCCTGGCCGGCCCCAATGAAAAAAAAAAAATTAAAAAAACAATCTGTGTCTTGGGGATTCTACATTCCAAATTAATTTGATAGTTTTGAAAGCTGCAGTTGTTAGAACCTTTTGAGGTCACAGGTAATAGAGCATTCTTATTAATAAAAGCATCAAATAGCACATCCATCCTTCTCATAATGTGTTGCACTGAAGTTAACAGGCAATCATCAGTCTCACCCATTTGCTTTGTCTGTGCAAACTGAGACATGTAAGTCACATCCTGAACACCGGGCAGTGGGCAAGGAAGGAAGTTTCTAGTGCTGCAGACCATTACATACCCTGAGTAACTCATTTGTGGCAGTGATATCCCAAAGAACAGTCTCCTCATACATACGTACTTCCACAAAAAATCCTGAAAATCCAATCATTTGGCTCTCAGATCTGCTGTTGCAGTTCTCTGTGGCAGAATCACAGTTCTGAGGTTTGTTTGTAATAACTGACCTATTTCAGCAAGCCAAGTATTCTTGTGAATTACTTTACCTTCTCATTTTCCCTTAACCAAAGTATTAAAAGGCATTAACAGGTTACAGGCTATTGTTCTAAAATATGAATTAATTTTTCATACAAACAAGTAACCACTACATTCACACTAAGATGTAAATCCACTAACATCACTGGAAACACAGAAAAAGAAATTCTGAACCCACATGGTTTGGGTCATCATCTACCAACACATTGTACCCTACGTTACAGCACTACCCCAAAAAAAGTAGCTGAGTCTTCCTTGAAACCAGTTACAAGGAGCAAGTAGCATTGCAGATGAAATTATGACCTAAATAGGCTCCTTGTAATTCAAGAATCAAAAAGTTACTGTCCCTAGAGTCTCAATATTATGTCCAGAAATAATTCCAGTATTTCACATTATAATGAAATTCATTGCTTGCCTACTTTTTAAATGCTGGGCTGGGACAAAAAGTGAATACGGGTAATGAAATTTGTGTATTGTTATTGAATTTGGAGGATTTCTGGTCCTAGCTAAATTTGTAAGACCCACAGTCAAATAAATGAGGATGGAAACAGGTACACTGAATTCTAAAAATGATATATACAATGTCCTTGAAAATATCAGAAAAGCCATGTACCTGGCTCTGAAAATTAATCAGTATTACCCTGGCATAGAAGAGCCTATCACATTCCCTTAGGTCCCAAAAGCTTTAGAGTCCTCAGTGGCAACAGAGAGTAGCAGAAGATCATCAACTTGTACTGCTACTAATACTTTACCAAGAGAAAAAAATATCTATAGTGTAACTGGCATTGTATTTCCCACACACACATCCTGTAGAAAAAGCCCATCAAGAAAGAAGAAGTAGAATTCACAGCCATACTCATATTTTTACAGAAAATCTATCTTTAGTGACTTTTGGCTACCAAAATTTAGCAGGTAGGAGGATATAAGTGAGACAGCCCTGTAGCAGGTGTTCAGCAATAAAACTAAGAATTTTAAACATAAATTTTTAAAAGTATATATTTTAAATAACATTTCAAATCGAAAAGCCAACAAATTGTCATAGCATAGTTTTTGTCAGAGCTGTCCTATTATTGCAGCCTCTCACAAAAAGCATTATTTGCACTCTTCAGATTTTAAAGTCAGCAGCAATTTCCCCCCTTCAAGACAAAGCAACACACTCAAGTCTTTGAATTTGTCTGCACTGCCTAGAAGAAACCTGTTGCAGAAGGTAGACACACAACGAGCTGTGCCAGGCAGGAACTGAAACACCCTTCTCAGACATCGTGTCTCGGTTTCTCATCTGCCAGGGAGATTTGAGGGATGCCAGAAAACCGAAGCTTTAGAATTCAGCTCACAGGCAGCTACTGCTACGAAGTGCCCGGTACAGATGACCCTACAAGAGCCCTGCTAAGTGCCCAAGCTGAGATCCGTGTCAGCCTAGGACCACCTAACAGCCAGGAAAACTCTTCCAGACTCCAGGAGGCTGAACCACCCTGTGTTTCTCTCATTACAAAGAGAAACAGAGTCCCTTCATCCTGCACTGAGCAGTTTCTGGAGGAGCACTCCATATAAGCCTGGACTCTTGCTTCGGAGCTCATCTTTGTATTTTCATACTACTGTTTCCAGAGGCAGCCCTTGCTAACCTGTGTGACTTGGCTGGCAGGGAAAGAGATTTTCAATCCCAAAATTAGATTAGAACCCAATCAACTTTGTTCCAAAAGACAAACAAATTTCTATCCAATTATTCTTTCACAGGGCAGGAACCATTTCAGCTGAAATGCTGTTTTGGACCAGACATCTAAAGAACTAAGTGCCTGACCCTGCTCAGTTTGAAAAGATATACAGGCTGACCATTGCTTACATTTTCACAGCCTGATATCAACAGGTAACATTTGCAAAGTCTCTGACAAGTTATCACTTTTTCAGACAAAACCAAGCTGAGGGGTATAGTTGACTAATCCCCCTGAGGACAGGACGCCATCCAGATGTGATCATAGAGTGAGAACTTGCCACAGTCCTGTTCAGCAATCTGGAAGTTGTCAATAATTCCAGGATGTTTTGAAGTGACATTTGATTCTGAGTAAAACCAGCAGGACACAGAGCTTCTGAGTCCAGAAATAATAAAGAGTAGGAGTAAATTTACACTTCTCTCTTTCTCTCCTCACTTGTAAATGTCTCTAAGGGCATTAATTACACTCTCCAGAGATTCACAAGCTCTGGGGAGTTCGATGGCAAGGCTTATTTTCCCAGCACCTCACTGCTATAGATAAAAGCCAAGCATGAAGAGAAGAACAAACACAGGATACTGCAACTCAGATGCTTTAAAGTTGGTAATGTATGAGGTAACCTTCTTATCCTGCCCAACATACATAAGGTGAAAATGCTTAGAAATGGTACCATGCAGCTGTTGCTGTTTCACACACACACAGAAATTCAACATTTGCCATGGCATACTATAGTTACCATGGATATGTCCCTATTCTTAGCATACTGGGAAGGAAAAAGAAAAAGAAGAAAGATCCCAGTATCTCAATGCATAGTAACCTTGAGCAAGAGTTAACTCTGCAGTTACAGCCACCACGCTGGCTAACAGAAAAAATGAACTTTATTTTGCCCAAATTTTTGCAGAAAAATAATCTATGCACTGTTTATGGCTAGGATTGCTTAGCTATATGCCACACACAGATTGTCACAATCAGTAATAAGCAGGAGAGACTGAAAGTCAGTTTGAGACCTGACAGCAGTAATTCAGAATCAGTCTTCAGTTTACGATAAATTATTTAAAAGAAGAGCTACAAATGAAGACTCCTGGCATAAAGGAAATGGGGGCTTTAGGACTTCAGATGAGCATTGCTCCTAAAAAGAACGAAAAGTCCTCTTCAGCTGAACTCCAGAGGAGCATCCTGTGGAGAAAAAATATATTAAATTCAAACAAATGACGGCCCAAAACCAAGCATGTATCACACCAACTGTGAATTAGCAAACACTGAAGATAATAGAAAGTTCCAAAGATCCAGCAAGGAAGATGTGTAGCTTTTCAGTTGGACCAGCTGATAAAAGGAGGAGCTAACATTTCTTATGTCACAACCAGTCAAATTTGCAGCTGGTCTTGTATAAAGTTGCTTTTTATTATAGGAATTATGTTCTCTGTTCTAGTCAAGCAAAGATGCTTTGA